GTGCTCTGCTTCGGGCGGGTATCACCCATATCGTGAACCTGCGAATAGAGTTCGATGACGCCTCGCACGGCTTGGCGCTGGGTGATGAGCCTCCATTCGGGTACTGCTACCTGCCGACCATTGACGATGAAGCAGTCTCACCCAGCCATATTATTGAGGGCATTGGCTTCATCAGCAAGGCTATCGAGAGCGGAGGAAAGGTCTATATCCACTGCTCTGCTGGTGTTGGACGCGCGCCAACGATGGCGGCAGCATATCTCATCAGCGAGGGATACAGCACAGAAGAGGCCTTGGACCTCATTCGCAGGACGCGCCCTTTCATTAAGCCGACACCAAAGCAATTACAAGGACTAAAAGCGATTCGAGTGGAGAGATAGGGAGGGATTGACAGCTGAGTGATGACTACTATTCACCGGGCGTGCATAACCAGATGAACTGCCCCACCTGATAGCCCACAACCACATCTTTATCCATGCACTTGAACGAAATGATGCCAGTGGAAGTATTGATCTCATTGACCTCAATGGCATTGCCCGGAATTACCTGATTTTGCACCAGATGCTCCAGAAGCACCTCATCGTCCACTGGAATCTTGTCAATCACTAGATCCCGGCCAACCTCTGCCTCGTTCAGGCGGAATGACTCCCCTTTTTGCACATAATCTGTGCCCGGTATCGGATACCCGAACGGCGATGTCGTCGGCATGCCCAGCTTCTTCATGATGCGCTCTTCCAAGTAGGGAGATATCGCATGCTCCAGCAGGTGCGCCTCCACATGAGCGCGGTGTAACTCCACATCAAGCATATCTACGACCATGCGCTCCGCAAGTCGGTGCCTTCGTACTATGCTCTCTGCGTGCCGTGTGCCTTTCCGTGTCAGGGAGAGTTGCCGCTTCGAGTCTACGGCAATCAATCCTTCACGTTCAAGACGCCGAATCATTCCTCCCACCGTCGGAAGTGAAGTCCCCAACCCTTCGCCTTCTGGCAGCACCTTCAAGTGCTCCGCAAGTTGCGTCAGCGTAACCAACGCGTCCTCTTCATTCAGACGATAGATGGACAGCAGATAGTTTTCCGCCGTCATAGAAAGTCTTTGCCGGGACGGTGGCAAATTGTCGGATTTTGATTTGATGTTGGCCTTGGCTCTCGCCATATTGATGCCTCGATCAGTAGGCCTAAAAATGTCAGATTCAACTTTGAGATTACCATCACGCCGCGACACAAGTCAATCTTGCTAATCCTGACGTGCGCGAGGTGGGCGTCGGCTGCCGATTTACCATAAACGACAACGGAGTAAATCACATGGTCAACGGGGTTCAGCATCCTGCTGATTGCCGAACTCTGTTGATCACTACCTCATGAACGCAATAAAAGGCGTTGAATCAACTGGCGTCAGAGTAATTTGCTCACCCTTCGAAAAGTCGGAGTATCTAGGCAGACGGCATCTTAGTGCCGTGCCACTTGGAGTCCGCACAGCTAGCATCGTATCGCCTCCGCGATATTCCAGCGCCTCTACGCGACATATCCCTGCATCGTCGGATTCGGGTTTCAGGTCTTGAGGGCGCACCACCAGCGTCAACACGGTGCCGTCCGCCAGCTTGCCTTCGCCGCAAGTGTAAGGTAGGCTGCCCAATTCCGTCTCGGCGACATTGCCGCGCACCACGCCCTGAAGGAAATCGCAGTCCCCGACGATCCGTGCGACTTCAGGACTCACGGGCGCCTGATATAGCGCGTACGGAGCGTCAATCTGCTCAAGCCGTCCGCGGCTCATCACACCGACACGGTCGGCGAACGCGAACGCTTCTTCCCTGTCGTGCGTGACGAAGATGGTGGCAACCCCCTTGCTTCGCAGTATCTCCTCAACTTCCTGTCGTACCTCCAGGCGCATTCCTGCGTCAAGGTTGCTGAACGGCTCGTCGAGAAGGACTGCGATAGGAGACGGCGCAAGCGTCCGGGCAAGTGCCACGCGCTGCTGCTGACCACCTGAAAGCTCATGCGGATATCGAGATTCAAACCCGTTCAGACGAACGAGATCCAGAGCGTCTTGAGTGCGGCTGCGCTGCTCACCTTTCGACATGCCGTGAAGCCCAAACGCGACATTCTCCGCCACAGTCAGATGGGGAAAGAGAGCGTACTCTTGGAACACCATGCCGACATTTCGCCTCTCAGGGGGCACGTAATGATCAGAATCAGATACTAGGCCAGCCTGAAAGCGCACTTCCCCATCGTCCAGTCCCTCGAAGCCTGCGATGATCCGCAACAGTGTGGTCTTTCCACAGCCACTCGCGCCCAGTATAGACAGCACTTCGCCCGGCATGAGGCGGAAACTCACATCGTCCACCGCGAGCAAGTCCCCAAACCTCTTCGTCGCACCTCTGCACTCGATTAGTGGGGCGGTCACGCCGGCGTCCTCTGCTCAGACTGGTCTAGAGCATTCAGGAAGTGCCGCTCCACCCGTCCCGTGAAGAGCATACCTCCCATGAGCATAAGCCACACGACGAACAGCACGCCGGTGATCTGATGGACGGCGGTAGCAGCATCCAGCCAGATGAGCTGCATGGCTGCTCCAAGGAGCGCGGATATAGCGCAATGAGCCTGAGAGTCCCCTCCCCACCTTCCACTGATATGCGCGACTCGGCATCAGCGCCAGACCAGCCCATCGTAAAGCCACCTTCCCTGCCATCCACCTGAATGACGCTATCACCTCAGTTGAGGGGCTGGAGCGCCAAATGCGACCATTCAGTCGGACGCTGTCTACCGCCAGTCACAACGGCGCAAAGGCCGGACAGGGCGGTGAAATCCCCGATATGATAACAGCGCAGGCGCGAGAGGTGTGACTGTAACGCTCCCGAATTATCCATGTCTTCAAAGCATGGACGCTCCCCCATACCAAAGCTGCCCCGGATACCAATCTGCCAAGCCACCGATTCCATAGCGACCATACCGCTTCTCTCCGAAATGCGCAGTGAGCGCACCCATTAGCGCTGGCTCGCTGCTGCATCTGGGCGGTGACGCGCACAACCGCAACACACGGTGGACTAGATGCTGCCAGGGCAAGAAGGATCAGGCGCCGCAATCGCGCGGCTGTACTCAAGCCGTTCCACTGCCGTATCGCTCATGCCATGTGTCCTCCGGGCTTTCTTGTCGCGCGCAGTACGAGCAGCGAGCGTCAATCGCATCCGACGGACATCAAGATAATCATCAGACGGGCGCCGCCGCTTGTGCGAAAACGCTTCAGAGGATGCCGCCCATACGGAAGTGGCGAGCGTTTGAATCCAGAGGTCCCATATCAGGGTGGCGGCAGCTCTGTCATCTATCGTCCCATCAGAAAAGACCAAGGCAGCGCCCATCATTACCACAAACAGGAGCGCCAGTCAATAGCGTATGGCAGAGTCGACGCGCATCACCGCACCCGCAGGTGGCGGATTGTGCCCACGGCAGCGCGCCGCATCTGTCGGCGCGATGACGGTTGGGGTGGAGCGTGGTGGTGTGGGGTGTGGTGCAGTGTGGGGTGTGTTGATTTGCATCGCGCGAACGTACTGAACCGAGAGCGACCGGGAAAACAGTACAGATAGGCGAATATCACCACAGCCATGTGTCTGATATAGTGGGCGCGCGTAACTGCGCTCTCCGAAGAATCCAGCGCCAGCGCGACAACACACCCCGGTCACGCGTAGCCGTGAAACTGATTGGCTCGAGTATGCGGTTCAGTTCTCGTCGGATACGTACCAGAAGAACTGCCATTGCTATCGCCATCCAGCGGTACCAAGCAGCGGCACCCGACACAAGCAGTGAATTCCGCGTTGCGCTCCAAAGCAGAGCAGCGGCTCACCTGCACCAACGCCTCGCAGCAGCCAGAATACAAGGACGCTAATACGAAGAACCAGCGCGAGCATCATACGATCCCATTGCGTCATGACTGCCCACTTCCATCGCCCCAGACTTCACTATCGCGGGCTTGCGCGCCGAACCCGCTCCTGGAGCGAAAGTACCGTCAATCGCCCCCGCGTGTAGTTTCTCAAGGAGCATATGACGTACTCCATCAGCACTACACGAACGACACACAGCCGCAACTGAGCGGGTCGATAGATCCTTCATATTGCTGGTAAATGCGAATGTGAAAGTGTTATACTCGCAGCACGAGCAACCGCTCCGAACACTCGCTAAGTGTATAGAGCGCCACCAGAAGTGACCCCGCAGCAATGGAAGGCTTCAGTTGCGGCAGCGTACCGGAAGAAGTTCTCCAAGGACCGTACCCAAGACCGCGAGATGCCTCTTCGGTCGCAGGGTCGAGATTAACGATGGAGCCACGCACAGTAAGGAATATGTAAGGGTAAGAAAGCAAGGTCAGCACGGCCGTCGCGCCGACCAGCCCATACATATCGGGCAGTCGCTCGACGCCAAACGCTAATTCGAGAGCGGATTGGAGCAGACCTCTCGGTCCCAGGGCGGAGATGTACAGGAATGCGCCCACGAAGCTCGGTATCACCAGGGGCAGTGCCGCCAGCACAGTCCACGTCTTGCGAAACGGCAGGTCCGTCCTCAGTGTCAGCCAAGCGAAGGGAACGGCAATAGCCGCCGACAGGGTCGTGACGCAGCCAATCAGCAGCAGCGTGCGCCCAAGCGTCTGCAACGTTCGCAAACGGAACAGCAAGTCCCACGCCTGATCACTCGCACTCGCCCCCCTGATGAGCAAATAGATGATCGGAAGCGCCATCGCCGCCCCGACCAGCAGCGCGGGAACCAGCGCAAGCATAGGAGGCAGAGACAGCGCCGCGCGCCGCCGACCGGCAATTACTGCCCATCCGCGGCGCCCACGCTATGCGAAAGTCTGTCTAACGCAACCATCTATATCTAGTCTGTTCTCGTCTCTAAGGGCTAACTCTACCGGTGAGACATTTACTGAAGAATACCAAGGTCACGCAGCAATATCTGCGTGCCAGCAAGGTCATCCAGAGACGCCATATCAATGTCCGGGTTGTTAATCTCCTCAAGCGGCGTGAGGATGCGATTTGTCTTTACGCCGTCGACCAGTGGATACTCATAGGTCTGTCCAGCGAAATACTGCTGAGCCACTCGCGAAAGCATGAACTTGAAGAAGCGCTCGGCATTGTCCTTGTTTTCCGCCGTCTTCAGGATACCGCCGCCCGCCACCAAAACGATACCGCCTGGTCCGCCGCCGGACACGTGGTAGTTACGCGCCCGGAAATCCTCGCCCTCTTCCGCCAGGAAACGATGCAGGTAGTAGTGGTTCACGAACCCTACATCCACCTCGCCTGCCGCAGCCGCAGCCACAGTCGGTGTGTTCTTCGGATACACCTTCGGCTCGTTTGCCTGAACTCCGAGCAGCCATTCCCGTGTCTTGTCCTCGCCCCACACCACGCGCATTGCCGTAACCATCGCCTGGAATGAGCCGTTAGTCGGCGCCCAGCCAATGCGACCCTTCCATTCCGGCTTCGTGAAGTCCTCCATGGAAGTCGGTATCTGTTCCTCTGTCAGATTTTCTGTGTTATAGACAACCACGCGCGCCCTGCCCGATATGCCGACCCACTGGCTCTCAGGTGAACGCGCCCATGTCGGAACTTTCTCTGTAATGCTTGTCGGAAGCGTCTCGAACATACCTGCATTCGCTACCTCGCCGAGACCGCCCGGGGTCCTGCGCAAAGAATACATCGGCAGGAGAGTTATGCCCCTCCTCCAGAATTGTCGCAGCTATCTCACCCGTCGATCCGTACTTCACCGCGACATTGATGCCCGTAACTTCCTCGAACTGCTCTATGATAGGTCCCACCAGGGATTCGCTTCTGCCTGAGTAAATTACGAGAGAGCCGGGATCTCGGTCCCGCACCACCTCTATAATTTCTTTCTACCTCTGACGCTCCACCACCCTCTCAACAGGCACTTCCCTGATTACCTCTTTCTCCACCACCACCAGCTTCTCAACAGGCACTTCCCTGACAACTTCCCGCACCGTCTCCACAGGAACTGCCTTTTCCACTATCCTTTCAACCTCGATAATCTGCGGTACAACCGCCGCCGGGGCAGTGCCGCACGCCGCCACCGCAAGCGTTGCAACGATAAATGCAATGAGCAGATACGCCCTATGATGGAACACCTCTAATATACCTCCATCTCAAGCACTGCTTCGTAACAGCTCAACCGCACATTTAGCGGCTCTGAACACTATCACTAACAGCCTGAGTTAATATGCACTAATCCATAAAACTTGTCAATAGATTTGCCTTTGAGTGCCGTGTACTAATACAGGGGTAATGCCATCAAATACTGTTTATCTACGCACACAGCAACAAGGCGTTTCAGGAGTTTGTTTGCTTGTTCGACCGACCCCCCTCTATTGGGAGGGTAAAGGGGGGCCGGCCACGAGAAAGGGAAGAGTCAATATAATGTTGTCCCTTGCCGCACCACCTTAGCGCGGCGTATATGGCGGTTCACGGCACCGTATTGTCTTCTTAACACCGCCGTTGCTCCAAAAGTCGCGCTCACCGGTGCGCGTTGGAATGGTAGCCGAAGGGCAGCAAGCCCTGAAACGACTCATCAAGCCCAACTAGATACGCTGGAACACAGCACTTTGCTCTATCATAGGTTTCACGCGAATGACGTCTTTCATTGACCCTTTTGTCCTGTGCCGTACCACGCCTAATGGCCTCGGAATCGTTAAAGGCATATCGGATGCTGCCACTGATGACAACCCCGCGAAATGCGCTGACGCTCTCATGAGCGCACTCGGGCAGGGTCTGTAGAAAGCAGGTATCGCGTTGACCGTATGTCATATGAGTTGTATTGCCTGATAGTTTCAGTTATCTATATAGCATCTCAATTATTAGTCTATACTAATTACAGGACACAATATACACACATGTTAGTGATGCGTCAACACATTTTGCAGTCAATTCCCATACAAATCACATTTGTGAGACGCGCAGAAGAGCCACACTCCCTGTATTGCAGGGGGCGTGGCTCTCGGTTGTCTTCTAAGACTAACGCCGGTCAGCTATGGCTCCACGGTTATCTAAGTCGAATTCTATGCTGTGGTTGTGTCCGCTTTTAGTTCGCCCCGGCTGCTGGCGTCGCTGCGGCTGGCGTCCTCGCTCCAAGACGCCCGTCCAGTATCAACAGGCCGCTGCCGTCGCCATCTATGATCCGCAGGTGGACCACAATCTCCTCAGCAACCTTCTCTTCCTCGACCTGCTCGATGATGAGTTCATGCAGCATCACCTGCGCCGCATAGTCGCTCTCCTCAATCGAAATCTGGTACATGCGATTGATGAGCGCAGTAACCTTGCGCTCGTGCGCCAGCGTGCGTTCCATGACATCAAGCGGGTTGCGGAAGTCCGAAGGCGGCGCATCGATAGCTTGCAGCGTTGCGCGCCCGCCGCGGTCATGCACATGGTCGAAGAAGCGCATCGCGTGCGCCGTCTCCTCTTCGTTCTGCATTCGCATCCAGTGGGCAAAGCCCGGCAGGTTCTCGTCCTCGAAGTATGCCGCCATCGACAGGTACAGGTACGCCGACGCGAGTTCCGCGTTTATTTGATCGTTGAAAGAATCCTGTAAATTTGCACTAAGTTTCATTTGAAATACTCCTTTTTCTGTGTGGTTTGGCGCTCTCTCCAGCGCTTAAATGTTCAACCTTGTATCTATGATTACATCGGCGGAAGGGCTAGTCCAGAGTTAACTCACAGATAATCGTGCCTGCAAATTGACACGATTGCTGCCATCACTCACGCTATGGCTTATGCTAACTACCCATTCGGCGATGATGCAGTCGGGGCTCATAGTTGACACACAGACTGATGAGTGTATATTGACTTTATTGATAAGCATAGGTTAGCGCCTTGGGTTTGCCTTTGGCCTGTGTACGACATTGGGCAGCTCCACAGATTGCCGCGCCATCCTCTCTCACGACGCAGATGGTTGCAGATTTGGCTTACGTTACTCAAAGACAAGGGGACACACATGACAACTGAAATGATCAACAGCAGCGAAGTGGCGGTACCCTCCACGCAGACGTCGGTGTACGAAGCCATTTTCGGCAGGCGCATGAGCAAGGAGTTCACCGATGCCGATGTGCCGCGAGAGGCGCTTGAGCGCATGTTCGACGCGGCTATCTGGGCGCCGAACCACCGCCTCACCGAACCATGGCGCTTCTTCGTGCTGGAGAAGGGCAGCCCCGCTCGTGAGCGAATCGCCGACCTTGTCTGGCAATACGCGTACGACAATGTCGCCAGCCCCAACGAGACGATAAAGGAGCACGTGGCAGACAACAACAGGAGCCGTATCACGGATGCGCCCGCGCTTGTCTATGCCTACAGTGTGCCAGGTCCGAATGAGGAGACTACGCACGAAAACTATGCTTCCGTATGCTGCGCCATTCATAATATGGCACTTGCCGCAGTCGCGGAGGGTCTCTCACTGGACTGGAGCACGGGGACGGTAACGAGGCCCTCGAAACTCGCGGAGACGCTAGGCGCGGAAGACGACTGGGCGATGGTAGGCGCGCTGTTCATTGGCGAGCCTGCGGACGAACCCGTATCAATGCGCAGCGCAGCGCCGAACATAGTCTCGTGGCTGAAGTAGGTTTCTGAAGTAGGCTTTGGGGCCGCACACAGGAAATTGTGGATGCGAACCGTGGCTATCTATAGGTCGCGGGGAGGAAGATGGTACCCCTGCCCGGACTCGAACCGGGGCACACGGTTTAGGAAACCGTTGCTCTATCCTCCTGAGCTACAGGGGCGCATCCGATGATTGTACACCTAATTGTACACCTGTAAGCGGCCGCTTGTCAGTCATTATCACAAGCCCTATCCCATGAACGAGGCTCTGGAATCGTCAGGACCGCTGCGCTCAGAATGACCGATATACCCTGTTCTTGAAGTTGCCATTTTATTGACAGCAATAGGCTGGCCTCGCTAGAATTCCGGGATTACACTCATGGGGAGCGCACCAGGATATGGACGAGCTTGATGCCAAGATAATTGCGACGCTTCGACAGAACGGCAGGGCGTCCAACGCAGGTATCGCACGGAGCGCGGGGGTGAGCGAAGGCACGGTACGCCGCAGGCTGCGCCGCCTCATCGACGAAGAGCACATCTTCGTAGCAGCTATCCCAAATCCCGCGATGATGGGCAATCCCTTCGAGGCGCTTATCGGCGTACAAGTGGACCCGGACAAAGCCGACTTGGTGGCGGCCGCAATGGCCGTGATGGATGAGCTATCGTGGGTTACGGTCAGCACGGGGCCGTATGACATTTACGGCTGGGTGACTATTGCATCCCCATCGGCCCTGAACGACTTCCTCCGCACGAGAATAGCCGTCATCCCCGGTGTGCGGCGCACCGAGACCTACGTACATCTCGATGTTAAGAAGCGCTCATACGGAATCGCCACCTCATAACCACTGTCTTCCACGTACTGCTGCCCATTTACCCTTAACTCTGGCCTGAAATCTGGCTCCCAAGCCTGTATAATTTCTGTACATTTGCGATTTCAAAGGGGGCAGACTTGCTTAAAACCATCAGCTGCGGCGATGTGCGCGCCGAACACATTGGCAAGACGGTAACGCTGGCCGGCTGGGTGCATCGACGCCGCGACCATGGCGGGCTAATCTTCATAGACCTGCGCGACCGCGAGGGCATCGTTCAGGTCGTCTTCAATCCGGACAACGCACCGGACATCCACGCTACCGCGGAGTCGCTGCGCAACGAGTGGGTCGTTCAGGTTACAGGCACTGTGACCGCAAGGCCCGAAGGCACCGAGAATCCCAACATGGCAACAGGTGAAGTCGAAGTCTCCACCGAGCAGGTCAGGGTGCTCAACGAGTCTAAGACGCCTCCTTTCTACATCAACGAGGAGAGCGAAGTTGACGAGCTGATCCGCATGAAGTACCGCTTCCTCGATCTGCGCCGTCAGTCCATGAGGGACACCATCATCATGCGGCATGAGGTTGTGCGCTATATTCGCAACTTCCTGAGTGATCGAGGGTTCCTCGAAGTGGAGACGCCCATCCTCATCAAGAGCACGCCGGAGGGCGCGCGCGACTACCTCGTGCCGAGCCGCATCTACCCGGCAAGTTCTACGCGCTGCCGCAGTCGCCGCAGCAGTTGAAGCAGCTTCTGATGGCCGCGGGCATCGAGAAGTACTTCCAGATTGCGCGCTGCTTCCGAGACGAGGACCCGCGCGCCGACCGACAGCCGGAGCATACGCAGCTCGACCTGGAGATGAGCTTCGTCGAAGAGGACGATGTGCTCAACCTCATCGAAGAGCTTTACACGAAGCTCATCGAAAACGCTGTTCCCGGAGAAGTGGATAATGCGCCCCTTCCCGCGCATGACATACGCGGAGGCGATGGCGTCCTACGGGACGGACAAGCCCGACCTGCGCTTCGATCTCGACATGTCTGATCTGTCGGACATTGCGGAGCAGACCGACTTCCGCGTCTTCACATCGACCGTGGAGGGCGGCGGCATCGTCAAGGGCTTCAGCGCGCGGGCTGCGCCTCGTACTCGCGGCGGCAGACAGACGCGCTCATCGACTTCGCCAAGGCGAACGGGGCACTGGGCCTGGTAACTATAGCTCTCACGGGCGAGGGCGCGCTGACGGGCGAGGGCGACATAGACGACCTGACTCAGGACGGGATTCGCTCGGCGGCTGCGCGCTTCCTGACTGTGGAGCAGGTGAAGGCCATCGCGCACAGGATCGAAGCCGAGATGGGCGACATGATCCTCATCGTGGCCGGTCCCGCGAAGACGACGAACCAAGCACTGAGCGCGCTGCGCAACGAGATGGGCGCGCGTCTTGAGCTTGCAGACACCGAACATATCGCATTGCCTTGTAACCGACTTCCCGCTGTCGAGTGGAACGAGGACGCAGAACGCTGGGACGCGATGCACCACGCCTTCTCAATGCCGAAGGACGGCATGAGGCGTACCTGAGAGTGACCCGGCAGTGTCATTGGCGGCTGTATACGACTCGTGCCAACGGGGCGGAGCTGGCGAGCGGCAAGCATCCGATTCACAAGCGCGAACTGCAGGAGCGTGTTTGCGGCGTTCTGGGATACACGAAGGAGGAGGTGGCGGAGCGTTTCGATCAGCTCTACACGCATTCGAGTATGGCACACCTCCTCATGGTGGCATAGCGCCGGGCATGACAGGCTGTTGATGGTGCTGACGGGACGGGACAATATCCGAGATGTCATCGCATTCCCGAGACGCAGAGCGGTTTCGATCCGCTGTTTGAAGCGCCCAATGTTGTGAACAGAAGCATCTCGATGAGCTGACATCAGCATAAATTGTTGAGGAAGTAAGTCCGTCAGCAGGTTAGTCTGACTGTCAGAGTAGCCGCCGAGGGCATGGAGGGCAACATATTGTCATCCTTGCGAGCGCTGGATTCTCGCGCGGGCGGGAATGTCGTGACTTATACTATAGTGTATTCGGATTAGGGGCTGCGGTTGCGGTTGCGTTCGCGCTTGAGGCGGCGTCTTCTCTTTCGAGTCGCCTGTCATCCTGCGCGACGGGCGAATAGCTCTGCTCCAGCTCCACGCTCGGTCTGCCTTGCCTGGTGCGCTCGCGTCTCCGCGCTGCTCCAGTATCTCCTGCTCCTTGCCCACGCCTCACGCTGCTCCTCGTGGGAGGCGTTGGGATCCTCTGGATGACGTCCGGAGGTCTTCATCCAGGTCCCTTGCAGACGCAGACGGCAGTCCGGGTGGCAGGGCGCGTAGAACATAATGAATCAGGATCGGGCTGCGCGGGGTTGCCAATCCCAGTGAAGCAGGACTTAGCCGCTTCATATCCTGTCACGAGTCCTTGCGTCAGGGTCGTTGCCTTCCAGATTTCGATCAGGACTCTTACCATAGCTCGCTCCGCCTCTGAGTCAACGCGGATGCGAGCGACGAGTTTCTTGGTCACCTTCTCGTGTTCGAGGCTGAGTGTGCTGACGGCGGGGCTGTGAGCCGTCCTGCGCCATGTCGTCTTGCTGCGAGCAGTCATTGCGATTGATGTCCGGAGCACTGTCGAGGGCTTCCTGGCTTCCTCGAAGCGAGCTGAGCAGATTGCGCGCGGACTGGAGGCAGGTGTTTCCCGGCGGGATCCTCGCCGTCTCATGATGGCGACGAGGTTGCGGATGATGGTTCTGCCGCCTGCGTCTCTCGAGTACGATGCGCTGGAATGGCGCTGAAGTGTGATCTATGGCGATGTGCGGCGTATCTGCATCCCGTGCTGGTGCATGGCTCACTCATATGTCTCTGATTATAGGGCAGCTGCGTTTCGGGTTGCGTCACGGGTTGGAAGGAGCGTCAGTTTTAGGTTCGTCCGTGTCCTCGACAGCACCTTCGGCGAGACGGTCAGGACAGGCTCTAGCCTTCACCATCAAGGGCTGACAGGGTAGGTATTGAAAGTAACCGTGCTGCATTGGCGACTTCACCCCCATCCTAACCTTCCCCCATCGAGGGGGAAGGGACAATATGGCTCACATCAACACGTGCCAACAATACCAAGCTTCAAGTGTCAGTTCGTAGGTGGGATTTGGCAAGCTTACCGCGAGCGGAGAAAGCGAGTGAGATTGTTATTCCGTGAGCAAAGAAAGCAGCCAGAGAATACTGCGAATGACACATTGGGGTTTATCCATTATTATAGGGGAGGCGCCGCGACTCCACGATGCTAATTGCGGCTGGGAGCGGGAATCCCCCATTAATGATACTTGAGGAGAGGCTGTTGCAGCAAATTGATACGGCGCGAGGAACCGCCCAGCTAATAGTGGACAATGTCAAACGCGTAATATCGGCAAGGACCAGGCAATCGAACTGGGCGTGATCGCGCTAATGTGCCAACGCGTCCGTCCCACAAGGATCTAATAGAGGATGTTGCCGCCAGGTTTTCGGCAAGACGATGCTCGCCAGAAGCCTCGCGCGCTCAGCAGGCTGCTCTTTCAAGCGAATACAGTTCACCCCGGACCTGTTGCCGACTGATGTGACAGGAGTGTCGATATTCAACCAGAGGAGTGGGGAGTTCGAGTTCAGGCAGGGAACAATCATAGCGCAGCTCGTGCTGGCAGACGAGATCAACCGCGCGACTCCGAAGACGCAGTCCGCCACGCTCGAGGCGATGGAGGAGCGGCAGGTTACGGTCGAGGGCATAACGCACTCGGTGCCGACGCCGTTCATGGTGATGGCTACGCAGAACCCCATCGAGTATGAGGGGACATTCCCGCTGCCGGAGGCGCAGCTTGACCGCTTCTTCGTGATGATTTCGCTTGGCTACCCGTCCGCAGAAGAGGAGATCGGTTATCAACGGGCAGCAGGTGGCCTCCGATGAGACTGCAATCGTTCAACGTCTGCCGAGGAAATCCAAGAGATGCAGCGGGCTACTCGCGAGGTGTATGTGGACGACCTTATAAAGGAGTACATCGTGACGATCATAAGCGCGACGAGGGGACACCCTGACATCGCGCTAGGGGCATCGCCGCGCGGGTCACTGTTCCTCGTTCAGCGCAGGCGGCGTGGCTGTTTCGCTGGGCGGGACTATGCGTGCGCGGATGATGTCAAGGAGCTTGTTGGCCCATCATGAGGCACCGGATAATCGTTGTCTGCCGCCGCCAGGATGCGGGGCGTTGACCTGCCAAGTAGTGAGAGAAATCGCCGACAGCATACCCGTGCCTGGGGCGCAGGCGCAGGCTGGTTTAGGAGCTGACATTATCTACGAGACAAAGGCTTATCTGCTAGGGCGGTTCTATCTAATTGTTTTCGCTGTGTGTGTTACGACGCGTAATAAACGGGCGCTGCCACGGGTTTCGGGCTGTTCTACCGGCTCTTTATATCCTGGGCTTAACGCTAAACTTGGGTATATCTGGAACGCCATCAGCTTGAAGTCGCTCGAAGTCAGCGTTGACAGGCGTACGCGACGTGTGCGTGTTGGGGACAATGTAGAGAGCGCATCACTATTCGCAACCTGAGTCAGACTGCCCAAGCCCACTCTTGAAGTGGAAGACCTGACGGACTTGCCCGGATATTCCAGCGGCATGGCGGTGAGCCTTCCGACGAAGGGATTTCGCTCATGGCGCACTCAGGCGCCCGCCCGCACGCGCGGGGTCTATACTCTGGGGCCGGTGCGCGTATCAAACACTGACGCATTCGGCATGTTCCGACGCGAGAGTTTCTTCTGCGACACGGACCAGCTTATTGTCTATCCGCGCACGCATTATATTCCGGAGTTCGCGATACCCGCCGCAGACTTGTCGGGCGACAGTTCCACGCGGCGGCGCTCGCACGATCTGACGCCGCATGCGTCGAGTGTGCGGGAGTATGCTTTCGGCGACAGTATCAGCAGGATTCACTGGGGCAGCACGGCAAGGCTGGGCAGGCTGATGTCGAAGGAGTTCGACCTTGGGCAGTCCAGCGATGTGTGGATTCTGGTTGACTTGCACCGCGATGTGCAGGCGGGAGAACTGGATGAGAGCACGGATGAATACGCGGTGTCTATCGGGGCGTCGCTGAGCAGAAAAGTATCTCGAAGCGGGCCTGCCCGTCGGTTTGATAGCGCAGGGGGACCAGCGATACTTCCTGCCCGCGGACACGGGCATAGGGCAGTTCGACCGCATCCTGGAGTTTCTGGCGCTCAGCAAGTCGGAGGGCGGCGTGGCGCTGGAGACGCTGTTGGCTCAGGAAGAGCAACTATGGGGCTATCACAGTTCGCTGATAGTCATCACGCCCTCGAACCGTCCCGACTGGGTTGTGGCGCTACGGGAACTGATGCGCCGCCGGGTTCGCGTGGCGGTGGTGCTGCTGGACGGCGCGTCGTTCGGGGGATTTTTCAACACGGTTGATGTTGTTCCGCACCTGTATCTCGCGGGCATACCGCCGTACCTGGTTCAAAAAGGCGATGATATTCCGGTCGCGCTGAGTCGCGTGTACACAAGCGCCGAGGTGGAGGGGTCGGAGCAGTTGGAAGCGACGGAGGTTCAGGTATGAGCAGCGAAGCGATTACTACCGTCCTGCCGCCGCGAGTCGAGTCGACGCAGGAAGAGCGTCTCTGGCTGCTGAAACTATATGACAGGTTCCATCCCAGCCAAGGATGGGGAAGCTTTGTAATTCTGCTACTGGCGCTGATGGTAATCGGCATGTCGGTGGAAGATGGGAGCTGGGTGCCGGCACCGGGGCTGTACTCGCTGCTATTATTATCTGCGATTACAGGGCTTGGGCTCGCCAAAGTGCGTATTCCCGCAGCGTTCCTGCATCCAGTAGGGCTGGTCGTTGGTGCGGCGCTTGCTATCTGGCGGGCGGTGGAGCTTTCTGATGAGACCGGAATCTCTGCAGCGCTGCCGGAGATGTGGGGGAGGCTGGCTGTCTGGTATGAGGCGGCGACGAATGACGGGATTTCTACGGACCTGCTGCCGTTCACACTTCTGCTGCTGGGAATGTCGTGGCTGATAGGCTACTTCAGTTCGTTCTTCGCATTTCGCGTCAGCAATGCATGGGTTACCGTGGTCATCGGAGGCGTAGCCATTCTGACGAACCTGAGTTTCCTGCCTCCAACGCTCGCCTTTTCTCGAAGTTCTTCCTGTTTACGCTGCTGGCGATGCTGCTGGTGGTGAGGCTGAACGATGTGCAGAACGAGCAGCGATGGCGAATGCGCGGCATTCGGTTCGAGATGGTGAACGGGTGGCTGACGATGCACGGGGCGATCTGGTTCGGGGTGCTGGTCATGCTGATTGCCGCGATTCTGCCGCTGAAGGTATATGTTTCGCGGGACCTCGCAGAGTGGTGGAACACGGCGCGCTCGCCCATAGCGAGCCTCGAGGAGGATGTGACACGGCTGCTGGCAGGCATACCATCGAGGAAGGATGTGCCGGGCAGATTCTTCGGCAAGACGCTGCCATTCATCGGGGCGATCTCGTTCGGCGGCGAGGCGGTGTTCTGGGCTAGCTCGGAGTATCCGTCATACTGGTTGTCGAATACTTACAGTGAGTACACTTCGCAGGGCTGGAAGGCGGGCGAAACGACGAAGTTGGAGGTGGGGCGAAATACCGTGCCGCCGCCGCGACCGGAGTGGCTAAAGCGGGCGGAGGTGGAGCAGACGGTACAGCTTAACTTCGACAGCGACAACTTCCTCGCGGGTGGCGACCTGGACTGGTTGAGCCACGACGCCGTTGTGGAGACGCTACGCCCGAAGGAATTCGTGATCGATCTGCAAAACCCGGACTCGGATGCCGAACTTCCGGAGGATATTCAGCGAGTGGCGCAGTCAATCAGGGATGAGGGCGAGCCGCCTCAGCGATTTGTGGAATCGTACATCTCCCGGATGCTACCGAGCGATCTTGTGCTGAACAGCGTGGGGTTCGTGGCAAACGAGCACGGCAATGGCGGGATGCTGGTGCAGAGCTTGAATATCGAGCGCAAGGCTTCCGCAGTACCGGATATCGTGTCCTGGAAGTTCGCCGACCGACTGCCGGAGAATCATCCCTACGCAATGGTTTCATTTGTATCGCTGGCGACGGATGAAGAGTTGCGGAACGCGAGCACCGACTACGACTCCTTCATCACGGATCACTACTTGCAGCTTCCTGCGTCGCTGCCGGAGCGCGTGCGCGAGAAAGGCTGCCGATCTGACGGCGGGGCAGGATAACCCGTATGATAAAGCCGTCGCAATTTCCGATTACCTCAGAGGCGAGACGTTCACATATTCGCAGGACATCGGGCCACCGCCGCGTGATATGGATGGCGTGGACTACTTCCTGTTCGAGACACAGACGGGATACAGTGACTACTTCGCATCTTCGATGGTGGTGATGCTGCGAGCCGTTGGTGTGCCATCGCGACTTGCTGCGGGGTATGCACCGGGCGAGTATGATCGGGAGCACAATGTGCGCGTGGTACGCGACCAACGACAGCCACGGGTGGGTGCAGGTCTTCTTCCCTGACTACGGCTGGATTGACTTCGAGCCGACGCCGAGGTGGGCAGTGCATGAGAGGCGCTTTACTGCCGCTTCAGAGTCAGAATTCGGGCTTTCGAGCGGAGGCTCCGGCGACATTACTGACCCGTCAGAGTTCCTCGACCCGTTCGATGAGATTGGCATGCCCGGGCTGGGCGGATGGGCAGCGGGTCAACATTCGGCAGAAATGCCTTGCTGAACATCAACTGGGTTACGGTGGGAACTCGTGGAGGTATCGCAGTGGCGGCCGGCGCGGCTATCTGGCTGGCGCTGTACTGGTTGTGGAACCTTGGATTGCGTGGCCTATCGCCTGTGGAGAGAGCATACACACGAATGAACAGGATGGGGATGATAGCGGGACTAAAGAGGCGCGCGGACCAGACGCCTCACGAGTACGCAGCGATGCTTTCGGGCACGCTGGGTGAGGCGGCTCCGTCCGCACGGCAGATCGCCGAGGAGTTTGCAGCCATACGCTATACGGGAGGCACACCGCCCGAAGATGAAGAAGGCGACGAGATGGAACAGGCATGGCGCAGCATTCGGGGCGTGCTGATAGGGCGCGCATTCAGAAGGCTGCTGCCCGGAGGAAGCCAAGGATGACGAAGACATACTATGACATATTCGAGACGCCTGCGGGCTGGATGGGTCTTGTTGCGTCGGACAAGGGATTGCGGCGCACGACTTTGCCGCAGGCGTATCCGGAGGACTGCATAGAGCAGTTGGGCCACGCGATTACGGAGGCGGCGCCTTCGCCCGCGCACTTCGAGGATATCAGGGATAAGCTGGTGCGCTATTTCGAGGGCGAAGAGGTGAGTTTCGAGGACGAACCCATTGATGTGGAGGACGCGTCGCCGTTTCACCGAGCCGCATGGCATGCTTGTCGCACGATTCCGAAGGGTGAGACGCGCACATACAAGTGGCTGGCGGAGCAGGCTGGCAATGCGCTGGCGCCGAGGGCGGCGGGACAGGCAATGGCGAAGAATCGGCTTGCCATCATCATCCTTGCCACCGCGTGATCGCGAGCGACGGAAGCCTGCGCGGATTCGGGAAGGGTAGGGAGCGGCTCGACCTGAAGCAGAGGCTGCTCGACCTGGAGAGCTAAGCGCGCGATGGGTGTTGGCGTTAGGCTCAGCAGTGCGCTTGCTTCACCCCCATCCTAACCCCCGCTTTCGCTGGGGGCAGGCTCTTCCCCCATCGAGGGGGAAGGGGGACTTTGAGCGTACATTTATTGCCGCTTTGCATATTCACCTACCCCTCCTGTAAGCCCATCAAGGGGTAAGGAACCTCTGTTAGCGCGCTGCGGCGGCAACTAACTGGGCTTCCCCGAACTCACCGAGCACTTCGCTATTGAGGCGTTCCACAAGTTCCGTGCCTGATGAGACGCGGACCGCGGGCCACTCCATTTCGACGATATGGCCTGCGGTGGTAATCTCCAGAGTAACTTCGCAATCGCCACGGTATTCCATGAGGAGACTCCTGACATCGTAAAGCATTCGCTTATCGTGCTCAGGCTCGCCTTCGATGATTCGGAGCAGGAGGCGATGGATTTCATCAGCCTGCGCCGATGAATTGGCGTTGGATGAATTGGCGTTCATAGGGCTGGAAGGCAGCGAACTCGCGCCGTTGCCGTTCTGTCTGGCATGCCCGTTCGTCCCTTGTGCTGGCCCGCTGACGGGCGACTGGGGTAGCGCTACTTCGTCATTGTTCTCTTCTTGCAAATCATTGTCCTCTTCGGGGTCATTGTCTCGATCAGCATCGGTATCAGGTGAGCTTAAGGCTGCCTCTGCCTGCGGTGGTGGTGTATCTGCGATGTCCGTTGGGGCATCTTCGTGATAGCCAGTTACCGCCTCGGCAACACCAACGCCTCCATTCTGCGCTGCCGACACCTGCTCGGGCACACTTTCGGGTGGGGGCGGATTTTGCCGATAAGACGCCGTGTCATCTGGCGTGTTGTTTGGCGTGCCATTGGACGGGGCGGATACGAGGTCAGCGTCCTCGCGCTCTTCAGGCAAATTGTCTTCGCCATTGTTGGCGTGGTGTGTGGTGTCTTCCGGCAGAATGACTTCCTGGGCTTCAAAGCAACTCAGGCTCAGCTGGTCGTCACGCTGGCGCACACTGCCTGTTACGGTAACCAGATTGCCGTCCTGCCAGAGCGCTTCGGTTTCCTGGAGCTTCTCGTCCCAGATGAAGACTTCGAGCACGCCATCCATGAGGATGAGCGAGGCGATAGCGAAGGGTTTTTGTGCGTTTGCGTGTAGCGGTGCGTAACATCCGAGACCATGCCCGTCACCTTCACGCGCCGCCCTACCATATCTGCGTCCAAGTCGCTGAGCATCAGTATATCGTCGGATTCGCGGTGGAGCGCGAGAAGATTCAGCATCGCGTTGTTCGATGTGGATACGCCAAGCAGTTCCTGTTCCCACTGGCCTTTTTCGGCGTCGGAAGTGTTCAGATCGGGGATGTCAATGCTCGCCAGCTCGGCAGGCATTGAGTCGCCCATCATGTCGAACATCGAGGTCTGCTGGGAGTTGCGGAGGTGCGCTTCGCTCTGCGCGAGTGACACGATGCGGTCTATGACCTCCAACATGCCTGAGCGATCGCCAAAGTCGTCGAAGGCACCCGCTCTAATCAGGCTTTCCAGCGCCTTCTTGCCCACGCCGCCCAAGTCGGCATTCTGGCACAGTTGCTCAATGGACCGGAAGCCGTCCATTTCCTTGCGAGTCTCTATGAGCGGCGCGACTGCCGCTTCACCGACATTCTTAATGGCGGATAGACCGAAGCGTATGGCACTGTTGCTTTGCTCGCCGGTGTCTATGGAGAAGTTGACTTCGCTCCCGTTGATGCTTGGAGGCAGGACGTTGATATTCATCCTGCGGCACTCCGCGACCGCTCCCGCCACCCTGTCGGTGTTGTCCTTGTAGGAGTTCAGCAAGGCGACCATGTACTCGGCGGGGAAATTTGCCTTCAGATAGGCGGTCCAGTATGAGATGAGGCCGTAGCTGACGCTGTGCGCCTTGTTGAAGGCGTAGCCTGCGAATGGTTCTATGAGCGCGAAAATCTGCTCCGCCATCTGCCGGGTGTAGCCCTGATTGAGCGCGCCATCGAGGAAGTTCTGCTTCTCCTCAGCCATAATCTCAGGAATCTTCTTGCCCATCGCCTTGCGGACGATGTCCGCCTGACCGAGTGAGTATCCCGCGAAAGTGCGCGCAATCTGCAGCACCTGGTCCTGATAGACGATGACGCCGTATGTTTCTTCGAGGATGTCCTGCAGCGCGGGATGCGGATAGTGAGGGGCGACGCGCCCGTGCTTGGAATCGATAAAAGTGGATATGTGCTCCATCGGACCGGGGCGGTAGAGCGCAATCATAGCCGCGACATCGCTCAGTGAGCTTGGCTTGAGTTCCTTGATGTAGCGGGTCATTCCACCGCCCTCAAGCTGGAACACGCCTACCGTGTCTCCTCTGGATAGCAGGTCGAAGGTGTTGCCGTCTTCCAGTGGAATTTCGGTAAGGGCGAATTTGAACCCTCTTGTCTCGTCAATGAGGTCGCGCGCCCTGGCGAGAATGGAGAGGTTAGCGAGTCCGAGAAAGTCCATTTTCAGCAGGCCCAGTGCGGCGCAAGGGTCCATGGCGTACTGGGTCATGGCGACGCCGGTGCCGTCGTCCGTGCTGCGCGTGGGTCTCTGGAGAGGCACGATGTCGTCGAGCGGCTCCTGAGAAATGAGAACGGCGGCGGCGTGAGTGCTGGTATGGCGGGTCAAGCCTTCGAGTCCCATTGCAGTGTCAACGAGCTTGGCTACGCCTTCGTCGGCGTCGTAGATTTCCTTCATCTCCGGGTTCTGTTCAAGCGCGTCTTCCAGAGTGATGTTGAGGCGGTTGGGGACGAGGCGCGCCACGCGGTCCACATCGCCGTAGGGCATTGCGAGGGCGCGTCCGACATCGCGGATCGCCGCCTTTGCGCCGAATGTTCCGAAGGTGATTATCTGGGCGACGTGTTCTCTGCCGTACTTGTCCACAACGTAGTTGATGACCTCTTCGCGGCGGTCATCCTGGAAGTCCATGTCGATGTCCGGCATCTCCTTGCGCTCGACGTTGAGGAAACGCTCGAAACGAGGCTGTAAGGAAGCGGGTTGACATCGGTTACGCCGAGGCAGTAGAGCACGAGGCTTGCTGCGGCGCTGCCGCGCACGGCGAAGAATATGTCGCGCTCGTGCACGAACTTGGCGATGTCCCAGACGACGAGGAAGTAGTCGGGGAACTGGGTCTGCCCGGATGACTTCGAGCTCGTAGTCGAGACGAGCGCGTTCGGCTTCGCCTGCGTTTGGAATGCGGCTGTTCAACGCTTCGTGGCATATCTGCGCGAGATACTCGTCGGCGCTGATGCCGCCGGGCACCGGGTACTCAGGGAGGCGCATGCGCGAGAAGTCCAGGTTAAGCTCGCACATCTCGGCGATGCGCTGTGAGTTGGTGATGGCATCGGGCACTTCTGCCCAGAGCGCCTGCCATCTCCTGCGGACTGCGAAGGTAGTACGAATCCTCCGCCATTCTGAGGCGGCCCTCATCCTCGACGTTTGTGTTCGTCTGGATGCAGATCAGGATGTCCTGCAGCGGGGCATCTTTCTTGTTCGTGTAGTGGGAGTCATTTGTGGCAACGACGGGAATGTCGAGCTGTCGGTGCAATTCCATCAAGCCCTGATTTATCTGCGGCAGGTCGGGGACGTCGCCGTGGCTCATCAATTCAAGAAAGTAGCGACCGTCCAGCAGTTCCTTGTACCATGCGGCTGTATCGCGCGCCCTGTCCATGTCGCCCTGCATAATCGCCTTCGGCACCTCGCCGCTTGGACAGCCCGACAGCACAATCAGTCCTTCGCTGTGCTGCTCAAGAATCTCGCGGTCGATGCGCGGCTTGTAGTAGAAGCCTCGAGGTTTGCCTTGGAGACGAGCTTGACAAGGTTGTCGTATCCGCGCTCGTTGTGGGAGAGCACGGTCATGTGGTAGGGCGACTTGTTGTTGGAGCTGCGCTCGTGGCGGCTGTCCGGGGCGACGTACATCTCGCAGCCGATGATGGGCTTGACGCCATGCTTATTGGCAATCTGATAGAAGTCGATCGCGCCGTACATGCCGCCGTGGTCGGTGATGGCGAGGCTGTCCATGCCGAGTTCTTTGGTGCGTAGAACGAGGTCTTCGAGACGGCTGAGACCGTCGAGCATGCTGTACTCGGTGTGGACATGGAGATGAGTGAACAAGGGGCTATTACCTCCGTCTCTCAAGCTCGATTGCGAACTTTCTGCTTTGCGGGGATTATAGCATTGGGTTTGGCTCCATAAGTGAAGAAAATCTGCATTTAAGGGTGAATTTCGCAAGCATTCATGACAGAAAAAGCGCAAAAAAGTGCCCCGGATGTTTGAGTCCGGGGCACTTCGACTATGTCTTATCTGCTAGGGTGTGCTATGCGATGGCCTAATAGTCCATCGGAGGCATCGCGGGGGCCGCGGCGGACTGCGGCACCGGGACATCCGTAATCAGGGACTCGGTGGTGAGCACCATGGAGGCTACGCTGGCAGCGTTCTCGATGGCTGCGCGCGTGACCTTGGCCGGGTCCATAATACCGCGCTCGAGCAGGTGGCCGAACTCGCCGACCTCTGCGTCGTAGCCCCAGTCGCCTTCTGCCTTGAGGCTCTCTGAGAGGATGACCTCGCCGGAAACGCCGGTGTTCTCGGAAATGAGCTTCAGCGGCTGCTCAAGAGCCCTGCGGAGGATGGAAACGCCTGTTGCCTCGTCGCCGGAAAGATCAAGCGTGTCGAGTGCGTCGCGGGCGCGAAATAAGCGCCAATCCGCCGCCGGGGACGATGCCTTCTTCGACTGCCGCACGGGTTGCGGACAGGGCGTCCTCGACGCGCTGCTTCTTCTCACGAAGCTCGACCTCGGTCGCCGCGCCAACCTTGATGATGGCGACGCCGCCGGAGAGCTTGGCAAGTCGCTCTTGCAGCTTCTCTCGGTCGAAGTCGGAGGTGGTCTCGTCGATCTGCGCCTTAATCTGGTTGATGCGGCCCGTTATGCCGTCATCGGTTCCCGCGCCGTCCACGAAAATAGTTGATTCTTTGGTAGCGACCACACGGCGCGCCCTGCCGAGGTCTTCAACCAATACGGAGTCGAGCTTGCGGCCGACCTCTTCGCTGATGACCTGACCGCCCGTGAGGATAGCCATGTCTTCCAGCATCGCCTTGCGCCTGTCGCCGAAGCCCGGCGCCTTGACAGCGAGGCAGTTTAGCGTGCCGCGCAGCCTGTTGACGACTAGGGTGGCGAGCGCCTCACCATCGATATCCTCGGAGATGATTACGAGGTTCTTGCTCACCTGAAGGATCTTCTCAAGCGCGGGGAGCACATCGGCGACCGCGGAGACCTTCTTGTCGGTGATGAGGATGTATGGGTCGTCGATGGAGGACTCCATCTTTTCCTGGTCGGGTGATGAAGTAAGGGGAGATGTAGCCCCTGTCAATCTCCATTCCCTCGACGAAATCCTGTTCAAAGTCGAGTCCCTTGGACTCGTCAACGGTAATGACGCCGTCCTTGCCGACACGCTCCATCACGTCCGCGATGAGTTCACCCATCATGTCGTCGTGGGCGGAGAGTGATGCGACCTGCGCAATCTGAATTCTGCCCTCGACCGGAGTGGACATTGTGCCGACCTGGTCTCGGAGGGCGACTACGCCCTTCTCGATGCCGCGCTTAAGAGCCATGGGGTTGGCGCCCGCGGCGATATTCTTAAAGCCTTCGTGAATAATAGCCTGCGCGAGGACGGTAGCGGTGGTGGTGCCGTCGCCTGCAACGTCGTTGGTCTTGCTGGCGGCTTCCTTCAGGAGCTGAGCGCCCATGTTCTCGAATGGGTCTTCAAGCTCGATCTCTTTGGCGATGGTTACGCCGTCGCTGCAGACCTGCGGGGGGCCGAACTTCTTGTCGAGAACGACATTGCGGCCACGCGGTCCGAGGGTAACGCCTACGGTGTTTGCCATCTGGTCGATGCCGCGCTTCATGGCTGCGCGGGCGTCCTCACTGAATGTGAGCTGCTTGGGCATTGTTTATCCTCCTTGTGAGTATTGGAATTGCTTTAACAGGGATTTATTTACCCTAACCCTCTCCCAGGGGGGAGAGGGGACTTAATTACTTCTTGAACAGAATGTCGTCTTCTCGCAGCACGAGGTACTCGTCGTCGCCATCCTTGTACTCGGTGCCGGCGTACTTGGAATACACGACCATATCGCCTACTGCCAGTTCCATCGGCACGCGGTTGCCGTCGTCGGTGAGCCTGCCGGGGCCGATTGCGACGACTTCGCCTTCCTGCGGCTTCTCTTTGGCGGTGTCGGGTATGTAGATGCCGCCTGAGGTCATCTGCTCTTTCAGCGTCGCCGGGCTTGACTACCACGCGGTTGCCGAGCGGCTTGAATGTTGTCTGGGTTTGTGTCGCCATTGTCCTATTAACCTCCTAGGTTGTTTGATATAAAACTCTTGCTTACCTTACAAACTTATACGCCACCCAACTTACATTTTCAGTCTGAAACGATGGCGCATTAGCAGTCTACTGATTAGTCTGCTAACTAAATATAACGAAGATGCTGCGGTGTTGTCAACATATTCTTTCGGGCTGAGCATATTCCGTATCGCTGGGCTTTGCGGCCTGTCTCGTGTATCTGATTTTGCCCAATATGCTATTGGTTTTCTGCACCTCAGCCGGAGTGCCATAGGGATGCATGCTTTGCTGCCGTTGGAACGACGAGTTGGCAGAGGGCGACTACATAGTGCAATCAATTTCTATGCCTTGACCGCTCACGATGGCAGTTCATATCATTAGCGGCAGATGGACACTTCAGGCGGAACAGGAGAAACGAAGAGCGCAGCGAGCATTGCGAAGGCGCTGCTTGTGAGCGCGCGTCCGCGCCAGTGGTACAAGAACCTCATCATGTACCTCGCGTTCTTCTTCACGATAGACGAGGCGTGGTCGCCGTCCGCAGACATTGCGGCTGGTCTGGGTCTATTCGGTGTGATAACGCTGGCGTTCCTGCTATTTTCGGCGCTGACGGGCGCGGTGTATCTAGTGAACGACATTCTGGACGCCGAGAGCGACCGCCTGCATCCACGCAAGCTCCACCGTCCAGTCGCTTCAGGACGCCTGCCTGTCACGGCAGCGTGGGCATTCGCCGCCGTCCTGGCGGTCATAGGATTGGGCGGGGCATTCGCTTTGGAGCCGGTGTTCGGCGTAATCTCAGGGGTGTATGTGCTGGCGAATGTGGCGTATTCTCTGGCGCTGAAGCACATCGTGCTGGTGGATGTGTTCGTGATAAGCGGTGGGATGGTGCTTCGTGCTGTCGCGGGCGCTGCTATCATGCAGGTGCCAATATCGCCCTGGCTTTATCTATGCACTGCGCTTGCCGCGCTGCTGCTCGCGCTCATCAAGCGGCGCAGTCAACTCGTGGCTGCCGGCGAAGACGCCGCAAGCCAGCGCCCTTCGCTCAGCCGGGTACACAGTCGAATCGCTCGACAGGCTCATAGTCATCACTGCTACGGCATCCCTCATCGGTTACTCGCTGTACACGTCACCGCGCCGAATCTACCCGACAACGACGCGATGATGCTCACTATTCCCTTCGTAGCGTTCGGGCTGTTCCGCTACATCATGCTGAGCGGCAACGCGGATGCCGGCGAGAACCCGGAAGACCTGCTGATGGGCGACGGTCCGTTGATTGCAACGGCGCTGCTGTGGCTGGGAAGCGCAGCGGTGATTCTGGCGCTGTTTCGCTAGATCGGGCGGGGCACGCTTATCCCTTGACGGATTAATCGAGCAGGGCGGGCAGTTCGCGGACGACGGCGGCGACGTTGGCGACGGTGATGGGTATGTTTGCCAAGAATTCTTCCATGGCGTTCTCGCCGCGCCATCGGAGATGCCGCGAATTTCAAGGAAGGGGATGCCGGAGACTGGGCTGCGCGAGCGCCGCCTGCGCCTTCCCATGCGACGACGATCGCGCCGGTGCTTTCTCTGAGTTCGCGGATGCGCTTTTCGCTTGCGATGCCTTCGTCGCCGCTTGCGATGCCGCCGAAGCGCAGGTTGCAGGGCCGGGCGCTCCGATCAGCAATACACTTTAATGCTCCAATAAGCCCGGCGTCGCCCTCGAATGTTGGCAGCGGGAGCTTGATGAGGGCCATACCGCGGTTGAAGTCGTGCTCGACAGTATGCGTGCCGATAACGACGTCGCCGACCGACAGCGTGTCATCGAGCCGCCCGCAGGTGCCGGCGCAAACCACGACGCCGATATTGTCCAGGTTGTCGATCAGGTGCTGCGTCTGAACGCCGAACTGCGCCTTGCCCAGTCCGCCTGCGCGACGATGATCTTGCCGTCGTCGAATGCTGTTGCCGTCAGCTTTCCGACCCCGCGGCAAACACCGGCCTGTCCGAAATCTGCGAGCGCCTTTGTGAAGGCTTCGTATTCCTCAGGGATTGGTGTTACTACCAGAATTGTCATTGATACTCATACCTGTTGAGCCGTGGTTGCGACTAGATCACGCCTTCCAAGTGGAGTGCTTCCAGCGATTCTCCGTTGCCGTTCAGGAACTCTCCCAGCACCTCTGCGTGTGCTCGCCCAGGAGCGGCGCGGCTTTGAAATCAACATGCGAATCCGACATCTTGATTGGGCGCCGGGCACCTTGAACTTGCCCCGGGTGGGATGGTCAACGCTGACAATCATCTCGCGCTCAAGCAGGTGTTCGTCGGAGTAGATGTCTATGGCGTTGAAGCAGGCACTGGCGGGGATGCCCAATTCCCCGAGGATGCGCATGACTTCGAACTTGTCGTGCTGCATCGTCCACGACTCAATGAGAGTGTTAATCTCGTCCCCCATTTCCATGTATTGCTCCGGGTCGGAAAAGCGAGGATCATCGAGCAGGTCGGGCCTGCCGAGCGCGGTCGCTAGCGCGCTCCACATTGGCCGCGCGCGGGGAAGGCAATCATATAGACATAGTCGTCATAGCCGCCGGGGGCACAGCGGAATGTACCCACTCCCGGCCTGTTGCCGAAGCTGTTGCCGGTACGCTTCTGCGGCACGGTGCCCTGTTCGGAGCGGGTCATAGTGGTGCGCCCGAAGTTTACCATCGCGTCCTGCATGGAGACCTCGACCTGCTGGCCCTTGCCCGTTGTCTGTCGCTGCAATATCGCAGCGAGAATGCCGACGAGGGCGTGCATGCCTGTGCCGGAATCGCCGACGGAGTGTCCCGGTTTCATGGGAGGACCATCGGGTTCTCCGGTCGCGCAGAATGCGCCGCCTGCTCCTGCGCTACTGGGTCGAAGCTCTTGATGTGCTGTAAGGGTCCGTATGTGCCGAAGCCCTTGATGCGGGCAAGAATGATGCGCGGGGTTCACTGCCGACAGGGTGTCGTAGCCGAGTCCCATGCGCTCGATCGCGCCGGGCGACAGGTTCTCAGTGACGACGTCTGCCTGCTAACCAGGTCGAGCAGCAGCTCCTTGCCTCGTTCGGTCTTCAGTTGAGCGTTGACGCTACGCTTGTTGGAGTTGAGTTCAGGAAGTAGTTGAATCGCCCGGCGAAGCCAGCGATTGTGCGACCGGGGTCGCCCCTCCCAGGGTTTTCTACCTTGACCACATCCGCGCCGAGCCATGGCAAGCATCTGAGGCAGGATGTGCCGGCTTCATACTGTGTCATATCAACTATTCGGATGCCGTTCAGTGCCTTGTCCATGTCAAACTCTTAGTGATTGTTGCCAGTTATCAGTAGTCGGTTGCTGGAAGCGTCTGTGTAGTTCATATCGGAATTGATAATTGATAAGCGTCAACTGTTGAGCATAGGTTTGAGCCAGGCTTGGAGTTCGCGTGCCATATCATCGCGCTTCAGGGCGGCATAAACGGACGCCTTCAGCATGCCTAAGGGCGTTCCAACATCGAAGTGGTCTGCGACGATCTTGTAGGCATAGGCGCCCTGCTCGGCGCGCACGGCTTCAATGGCATCGGTCAGTTGGATTTCGCCGATTGCACCCGGGGGCGCTTGTTCCAGGGCATCGAAGACTTCAGGCGTCAGCACATAGCGCCCGACGATGGCCAAGTTGGACGGCGCGTCCTCTAGGCGTGGCTTTTCCACCATGCCTTTGATGCGATACACGTTGTCGTTCAGTGGTTCGGGGTCTATGACGCCGAGATTTGGGATGGCTTCGTCGGAACTGCTTTGACGGCGATGACGCTGCTTTTCGCTCCGAGAAGACTTTAATCATATCGCCAATGGGTGGCGAGTCTGCCCAGATGATGTCGTCTGGCAGGAAGACGGCGAAGGGCTCGTCACCAATCTCATCTTTAGCCATGAGGACGGCGTGTCCCAGTCCAAGCTGCTCGTCCTGATATACGAAGCTGGTTTCGATCATGGACGATATGTCGCGCATGGCGTTCAGCAGTTCCGTATTGCCCGCGTTGCTCAAGTGCGTCCTCCAGCGCAGGCACTGGCTTAAAGTAATCGTTGGTGGCTTCCTGCCCTCGGGAGATGACGAACACGATGTGCTCGATGCCCGCGTCTGCCGCTTCCCTCACGGAGAACTGGATGGCAGGTTCGTTCAGCACGGGGATCATCACCTTGGGGATAGTGCGCGTTACGGGCAGGAATCGAGTGCCGAAACCTGCTGCGGGTATGACTGCTTTTCTGATGCTCATAGATTCTTTATCTACTCAGTGATTGCGCCGATTGACGAATTACGCCGGTACTGCCTGCCCTGTGCGGTAAATACTTCGCAAGATTGGCTGGCCTGCTGTAAGGGCAAGGACTACCGCGATGAAAATAAGGCCAGTAATCAATAGAATTGGAGGCGCAGAGAACTCATCGGCAGCGAATCCGTAGCCGAGATTGGCAAAAGCCATGATGCCTCCCGCGAACAGTATGTACAGGCTGGAAATTCGGCCCCGCAACCTGTCGGGAGCAATGGTCTGCACATAGGCACTCGTGAGGGCCATGAAAGTCGCCTGTGAAAGACCCATCCCTGCGCTTGCCAATACGCCCATTGGCGCGTTGAATGACAGCGCGAGAATAATGGGCGCCAAGCCGCTCCCCAGACCGGTCCAGACAGAAGCTGCCCCTTTAATTTCTCGCTGCGAACGCCCGCCAGAGGGAGTATTCCGACAAGGGAGCCTGCTCCGAAACCCATCACCAAGTATCCCAGAATCGATCCGTCGGTAGCGTCCAGACTTTCCCTAGAGAACACGGGCATGATGGATTCGAAGGACATGACAAGAGCGCAATGGAGAGCAACCAGCGCCATAAACAGGGCTATCGTCTTGTTCTTGAAAATATATGCGAAGCCGTCCCCCAAGTCCCACACCCATTGCATTGTGCCATGTCCCGTTCGCCCTCCCGCGGGACCTAGTCTTCACCAGACACATCATCAGCGTGCTGACTCCGGCTAGAAGGGCACTGAGCACCAGGACCCCCGCGACGCCCATGGTGGGGATGGCCATAAGCGGGGCGGCGATGAGAAGCCCGAAGAATCGCGCGCCGTGGCGAGTAGCGGCGTTCAGAGTTATGGCGTTCAGCAGAACGCTTTGCGGCACCTGATTTGGGATGAGCGCCGTGACTGTCGGTTCCTGGACGGCACGGAATCCGCCGCCCATGAACGCCAGGACAGCGACATGCCACAGTTGCACCTCGCCGGAGATTACGAGTACGGTAAGAATCGCAGTTACGAAAAAGCTGGCGAGCAGCATGAGCTGCGCGAGCGTGCGCCGGTCGATGCGGTCTGCCATCAGGCCGCCAAGGGTGATACGATGAGAAGGAATCATCGAGGCGAAGGTTATGATGCCCACCCGCCGGAGAGTCAGACTTGCTTAGGGTGAACCACGACTTGCTACGATGAATGTCCACATCGCGGCGCCTGAGAACATATTCGCCGTCCATGTCATCCGGTAATCGCGATATCCGAGCGCGACGAGGTGTGGAGCGTTTCTTATTTCGAGCAGAGTTGAGGGTCGCACCAGATTTTCCGACCTTTCTCCATCGTGCGCAGTGAGGCGCACTATGCAAGCAAGCCGATTATAACACGCAGAGGTTCGACGCATAGTGTCCCTGTACAATGCGGGACTCTGTGATTATCCAAGTGGTTGCGTTAGTATATGGCGATACAAGCTGGAGGATGCGATATGACCCACTGGACAAGGCTGAGATTGGCTCGACGGAGTTATGGTATCGAGGCTCGGGGTAGAGGCGGCGCGCCGTTCGGTCGATGTCTGTGGATGTCGCTGAGCAGCGTTCATAGAGAGCATCGCCAAGGGGCTGGAACTAGGATTTCGTATTACGATACTGCCCCGCTGTATGGCGCTGGCAGAAGCGAGCGATACTACGCGAATGGGCTGTCGGGCGTGGAGCGCGATTCCTATGTGCTATCAACCAAAGTCGGGCGTGTGCTGAATCCGGTGGACGCTGCGCCCGGCGCAGACATTTTCCGCGACCTGCCGCAGATGGATGTGGTATTCGACTTCAGCCGAGACGGTGGTGCTGCGCTCGTTTGAGGAGAGCCTGAAGCGCTGGAACTCGACCGCGTCGATGTGCTGCTGATACACGACCCCGGACGAACTTCATCCAGCAGGTGGTAGAGGAGGCGTTCCCGGCATTGGCAGATGTTGCGCTCGCAAGGCGTCATCGGTTGCGATTGGGGCAGGGATGAACTTCTGCGAGCCGCTGGCGCAGTTTTCGGGCGCGAGCGGACTTCGATTGCTTTCTGCTGGCGGGGCCGCTACACGCTGCTCGATCATACTGTTTGGAAGACCTGCTGCCCCTATGCGAAGAAAAGGGCATGAGCATCATACTGGGCGGCCGTACAAACAGCGTAGTGCTGGCGTCCGACCTTGGGCGAAGGGACGACTTACTTCTTCTACCAGAGTACGCCTCCCGAAGTGGCTGGATCTGGCGCGCGAAGATTAAGGCTGTGTGCGACCGGCATGACGTGCCGCTGAAGGCCGCCGCGCTGCAGTTTGGACTGGCTCACCCGGCGGTTGCGGCGACGATACCGGGGGCGTGTCCGCGGATTAGGTGGCAGGAGAACTTCGACATGGTGAGCTATGAGATCCGGCGGACCTGTGGGCGAGTTAAAGCACGAAGGGTTATTGCCGGAGAATGCGCCTACGCCGTAATTGCGGGGCAGGACGTCGCACGGGAGGGCAGCATGAAGTCATATGCGATGGCGCTAGACCTGCGGGATGATGCCGAGGTTATCGAGCGGTATAAGGAGTATCACCGGGCGGTATGGGATGAGGTGCTTGAAGGGCTGCGTCGATTGGTAATCTCGAAGATGAAGATATTCCTGCGGGGCAGCCGGCTGTTCATGTACTTAGAGACACCGGATGACTTCGATTGGAGCGCGACTTTCAGCGCTACACAGAGGCTTCACCGCGCGCGGCGGAGTGGGACGCGCTGATGCGGGAATTTCAGGTGCGCGTGCCGGATGCAAAGCCGAGCGAGTGGTGGGCCGCGATGGAAGAGGTGTTTGATCTGTGTGGGTGAATATCACCCTCAGGTCCAACAGAAATTAATCCCCGGATCCCAGGTCGTTCGTCCAATATCTCCACAGGTCTTTGCTCTGCGGGTGGTCGTGCACTTCCTTGGTGGCCGATGCCTTCTTCGAACATCTGGAGGCAGAAGGGGCAGGATACGCCTACCGTATCGGCTTCGGTTTCGAGGTATTGGTCGGTGCGGACGTGGTTGACGCGGCTGCCTCGGCTCTCTTCCATCCACATGTGGCCGCCGCCCGCACCGCAGCAGAAGCCTGATTGCGGCGGGCCGTTCCATCTCCACAAGCTTCAGCCCGGTATGGCTTCCGCTATCTGACGTGGCTGGTCGTAGATGCCGTTGTGCCGCCCAAGATAGCAGGAGTCGTGTAGGCGAGGTTGGTGTTAATCTCGACAAGGGCTTGATGCGCCCATCTGTAATTAGCTCCGCGACGAACTCGCTGTAGTGCAGTACTTCGAGTTCTCCGCCGAGGTGTGGGTACTCGTTCTTGATTGTGTTGAAGCAGTGCGGGCAGATGGTGACGACCTTCTTCACATTGTAGCTATTAAGGGTGTCTATATTTTGCTGCGCCATGATCTGGTAGAGGTACTCGTTGCCCATGCGACGCGCTGGGTCGCCGGTGCAGCTCTCCTCCATACCGAGTAGCGAAATCCACGCCTGCGCGCTTCAGGACGGACTGCCATTGAGCGGGCGACGCTCTGGCTGCGCTGTTCGAGTGCCGCAGTGCAGCCGACCCAGAAGAGCACTTCCGCTTCGGGATGGTCGGCGAGCATGGGGATGTCCAAGCTTCCGCCCAGTTCGGTGCGCGTGCTATGTCGTGCCTCGCCACGGGTGGCCGCGCTGTTCCATGCTAATCATGGGCGTTCATCGCAGTCCTCCGGCATCTCCGCCTCTCCATGACAAGGAAGCGGCGCATGTCGATGATGGTGCTGATGTGCTCTACGCCGACGGGACATTCTTCCACGCAGGCGCCGCAGGTCAGACAGTCCCACAGCGCCTTCTTTCCTGAATCCAGCGACTATGAGCGGCTTCTCGGCTTGCTCGTCTTCTCGCGCGATGACGCCGGGCGCGGTTTTCGAGAGTGTGCTCTTCTTTCAGGTTTTCCACGATGTGCATCGGCCGAGAGAATCTTGCCGCTGATGTTGGCGGGGCAGAACGTCGGTGCAGCGTCCGCAGACGGCGCAGGAGTAGCCGTCCAGCAGTTGACCGCTGCGTGAAGTCCTGTACGCGGGAGCGCCGACGACCTCGGCGGTCTCCAGTCGGTCGGTGTGGCAGTGTGCCGCGCGCTCTAGAGGGAGCGTGTGAAGAGTTGATGGGCGCACAACGAGGGTTGCATGTGCTTGGAGAGGGGAATGTAGATGCGAAGCCAAGGATTATGGCGAGGTGCCCCCACCAGAAGACTGCTGCAACACATTGGCGGCTTCCGCGCTCACTGAACCGCTAAGTGCGCTGCCGAGCGCTCCGCCTACGGGCGCAACCGCATGCGGGCCGGCGCCGCCGCCTGCGACGTAGAACGCCTCGGTCAGTAGAGTGAACACCATCAGCATGGCTATCAGCCCGAGGATAATGCCCGATTCTTTCTTCTGTGTGAGGTCGAATTTCAGGCGACTGGGAGTCATAACCCAGCGACGAATTGCCGCTGCTACAAGTATTACGAGAAACAGAACCGCCAGAATGTCCAGTAGAAGGTGAATGCTTTGAGTCCTGCCTCGGTCAGTATTTTGGACGAAAGCGGATGCCAAAGAGAGTCTCCGAATATGAACAGGACATAGCTCAGGGTGAAAGATAGAAAGCCCCAGAATATGAAGAAATGCGCCAGCCCCGCGCGGTCCTTGATGGATACGCGCTGGAGCACCTTGCGCTGCCCGAAGATGAAGGGCAGCGCGCCGAAAAGACGGCGCACAGGCTGATCGAAGCGACCTGCCGGCTTGCCCAGCAGCACAAGCCTGAAGACCGCGTGGTACAGGAAGTATAGCCCGACAACGGCGGAATGCGGCGATAGATGCCAGATACACGCCTACCCATGTGGGGATTACTCCGAACAAACTGTCAGGCGGGACCAATGCTTTCTCCTAGCGCATGGAATAAGTATCGGCGAGTTTATCACAAGCAGGTGTAATCTTCAGCCGCCGAGCGCAGGCGGTCGGGTTTTTCCTTGTCACTGATATCGGACGCAAGAGGTGCGGAGGGCGATGGCGGCATGCGGCTGATGCTGCCGGGGCAATTGCCTGACATGGGCATCGTGCTAAAATCTTTGCGAAGCGACAGCCGCTTCAACCGCGCCTCATAAAGCAGGCAGCACAGGCAAAGGATGCACTTATGACACTCCCCGAAAGAATGAAGTTTGGAATCTTCATGGCGCCGTTCCACTGGAAAGGCGAGAACCCAACGTTATCCCTTGAACGCGACCTTGAGATTATCCAGTGGCTCGATCAGCTAGGCTACGATGAAGCCTGGATAGGCGAGCATCACAGCGCGGGCTGGGAGATTATCGCCTCGCCGGAAGTGTTCATCGCGACTGCCGCGGAGCGCACGCGAAATATCAAGCTCGGAACGGGTGTCATCAGCCTGCCATACCATCATCCGATGATGGTCGCCAACCGCATGGTGCTGCTCGACCACCTGACGCGCGGGCGTGTGATGCTCGTGTGGGTCCCGGCGCGCTCGTAAACGGATGCCGCGATGCTCGGAATTGACCCCGTAGTGCAGAGGCGGCGTATGGACGAGTCGATGACGCTGATAATGCGTCTGCTCAGGGAAACCGAGCTATTACATACAAGTCGGAGTGGTTCAATCTTGTAGAAGCTCAGTTGCATCTGCGCCCTACACAAAGCCTCACTTCCCCATTGCGAGTAGCAGCGGCGCAGTCTCCGTCAGGAATGGTGCTGGCAGGCAGCATGGCGCAGGTGTGCTGTCCGTGAGCGTAACGCGCGGGCGACAGCATAGCACCACCTCGCGGACTTCTGGAAGATCGCCGAGGAGACCGCCGAGGAGAATGGCAACAAGATGGACCGCATGAATGGCGCGTAGTCATGCATGTGCATCTCGCGGAGAGCAAGAAGGAAGCATTGAGCAGGCGCGCGCGAACGCGGGACGTTACCAGTACGACTACTTCGTGAAAACGCTGGGGCATCAGCTCGATTTTGATGTGAACAGCAACGCAGACCGCGACAGGATCATCGATATGATGACTGAGAATGGAGCGTGGTGCGTTGGCACGCCTGACGATCTCATTGCTACCATCAAGAGGCTCGACCAAGAGAGCGGCGGATTCGGCGGATTCATGATTCAGGCGACCGAATGGGGCACGGAGAGAACAGGTGCTGCACAGCTACGAACTGGTCGCGCGCTACGTGATGCCGCACTTCCAGGGCTCAATCGCCAGCCTAGACCGGTCGCAGGTGTGGTCGGAAGGCAAGAAAGACGAGCTATTGGAGGCGAGAGCGGTCGCATTGGAGCGTGCGCGCACGGACTATGTCGCAACCAGGAATTAACAGACAGACCGTAAATTAAGTCAAGTGCCCTTGTCCGTGAGGCATGGGCACTTTGCTTGAATTGGACATGCGAAGTCCACGAATCAAGGCACAATACAGATAGAAAGGTAACGAAGATAAATGCCTCAGATGACCGGCGGACAGGCACTGGCAAAGCAGCTATATCGAGAGGCGTGTGCGGGTGATATTCGGGCTTCCGGGAGTCCAGCTCTATCACGCTCTTGACGCTCTTGCACAAGAGACGGGTATCAAGTTCATCACCACGCGGCACGAGCAGGCAACTGCGTACATGGCGGACGGTTACTCGCGTTCGGGGGACGACATAGGCACTGCGCTCGTGGTACCGGGGCCGGGCTTGCAGAACGCATCTGCGGCAATCGGCACGGCATTCGCAGCATCCTCGCCTATCATGGTGGTGGCAGGGCAGGTGGAGCGCGACATGATTGGGGTTGACCGCGGCGTGCTGCACGAAATCAACGACCAGCTCGACACGATTCGCCCAGTTACCAAGTGGGCGCAGCGAATCCTTGATCCGCGTGATGTGCCCGAAGCGGTGCATGAGGCGTTTTACCAGCTCAAGTCGGGCAGGCCTCGCCCGGTGGAGATTGAGATACCGCCGGAGACGCTCGCCGATGTAGCAGAAATCGAGCTGCTCGAACCCGTCAACTACCAGCGCCAAGCCGCAAGCGCAGACAGCATCCAAAGAGGGCGCGCGCATTGTAGCCAACGCCAAGAATCCGCTGATATACGCGGGCGGCGGCGTCAATCTGTCCGGCGCGAACGATGCCTTGCTCGCACTTGCCGAATACCTGCAAGCGCCCGTAATCGAGACGGCGGAGGGCAAAGGCGCGATCTCGGACAGGCACTACTTGTCGCTGGGAGTGCCGCGCCGCATCGATCCATATCATGATCGTATGGCGGATCATGATGTCATTCTTGCCCGTAGGCACTCGAATCCAGACTCCACAGATACTGCAGGGTCAGAGGGTTGTGCAGATAGACATAGACGAAGCCGAGCTTGGGCGGAACTACGAGAATACCTTCGGCATTGCGGGCGACGCCAAGATGACTCTTGAAGAGTTGCTGAAGGCGGTCTCAGTCATCAAGCCCGCGAGTGAGAGTCGTCAAGCTGAAATCGAAGAGATGCGCGAAGAGTTCTTTGGCGAGGGCCGCGCCCTGGAGCCGCTGCACTCGCTGTAAATGCCGTGCGCGCCGCGATGCCGGATGACGGCATACTCGTGGCAGGCATGACGCAGGTGGGCTACTACAGCCGCACACGCTTCCCAGTCTATAAGCCGAAGACATACCTGACATCATCCTACTTCGGCAACCTGGGCTTCGCGTATCCATGCGCGCTGGGTGCGAAGGTCGCCAACCCGGACAAGGCGGTTGTGGCAGTGTCGGGCGATGGTGGCTTTATGTACAACGTGCAGGAACTGGCGACAGCGGTGATGTACGGCATCAAATGCGGTGGTCGTGGTGTTCAACGATAGCGCGTTCGGCAATGTGAGGCGCGACCAGACGGATCGCTTTGAGGGGCGTGTGTATGGCTCGGAGTTGCACAACCCTGATTTCGTGAAGCTCGCCGATGCGTTCGGCGCGAGGGGCGTGCGCGTGGGCAAAGAGAACGCCGACGAGTTGCAAGCCGCGCTCGAGGAGGCGCTGGACATCAATGCTCCAACGCTCATCGAGGTGCCGCCTATGGCGCTGTATTGCCGTAGCCGTATGTAATAGACCTTGATACATAGTGATGTTCACAGTTATGCGTAGTAATAGACTGTGAGTTACCAGCGAACTGCCGGAAGGAAGTGCGACAGGGATGATATGGCTGTTGAGACACGGGACAGGCTTCTGGAGTCAGGAAAACGAGCCGCATGACAGGATTAGTCATGTGGACTTGCTGAACCTTTGGCGCGGGCGATTGCAGGCCTTGCGACTGCCCGACCTAGGCAAGCGTTTCTCCGAATGCTTTCTGGCTGATTGGCATAATAGGCTTCGCGTGATCGCATGCTTATCGCTATTGACAACCTTCGTCGATAGTGTAGGGGGTGACGGTGGTGGACGATGTGGTCTCGGGCTTCTAAAGAGACTGAAGCATGTAGTCGAAAGGTAAAGCAAGAGAGGCGGCCATACAGCCGCCTCTCTGCTGTTCCACGTGCCAAGCCGCAAGCGCCCATCATCCTACAGAGCCGAAAGCGTGACTACTTGTACACGACTCTGTCGGTTTCGTGCGCCTTTATGAAGTCCCAGTCGTATTCGACGCCGAGTCCCACGCCTTCCGGCACATCCACGCAGCCGTTCTCGTCTATGGAGTCCATTGCATCCTCATAGCCGCACTTAAACACCGGTGTGTGGCTCGGTCCCAACTTGGGATGCAGCAGCCCATCTCGTAATAGTTGCTATTTCGCATCGACGCCATCAGATGCCTTCTGTCGGGACCCGTGACATGAAGCTCGACATCGAGGCCGAACCCCTCGGATGCGTGGGCAATCTTCATCACGCCCGTGATGCCGCCGTCGTAGTCAGGGTCGGCGCGCACAAAATCGGTCGCTTCCGCCTCGATAAAATCAACATGCGACTCCAGCACGCGCACATGCTCAAGCTGGAGAATGGGCGTCTTGAATAGCTGGCGCAGCTTCCTGTGAGCGTGCATTGATACGCCGCCGTCTTTGAACGGGTCTTCGTACCAGAAGAAGTTGTACTCATCGCAAGCACGCCCCAGCTTGAGGGCATCGCCAAAGGTGTTGATGGCGCAGAACGGGTCGAGCATCAGGTCCATCTTGCCGCCCACACGCTTGCCGACGGCCTCAACGATGGCAATCTGATCCTTGATTGGCGCGGATTGCCAGCCGTGAATCTTGTAGGCGGGATAGCCCATTTCCAGACAGTATTCGGCAAAGTCGGCGTATGCTTCAGCGGTGTTCAGACCGCCCGGCTCCGAATCACCGACATAGGTGCTGGCATAGCAGGGTAGCTTCTTCTGAGAACCGCCGAGCAACTCATAAACAGGGGCTTCGTAATACTTGCCCGCGAGGTCCCAGAGAGCGATGTCCACGACCCCGGTTCCCATCGCGCTTGCTGCCTCATTGCCTGCTTGAGGTCGTTGTAGATGTCTTCCCGCCCCAGCGCATTGCGTCCCAGCAGTACCCTGGCAAAGCCCTGCGATTGCCGTATAGTCCATCGCTGAGCCGCCTATGTACTCGCCCGTGATTCCCAAATCCGTGTGAATACGCAGTCCGTGGCTGCGGCGCCTGATCTTGCTGCCCGGCTTGTAAGTCGGGATGCCTATTGTCGGCTCCGGCTCCACATCCTTCAGTTCAGTTTCCCACTGGACGATTTCCAAGGCGGTGATTGTAGGTTTTGTTTTCATTGTCCTCTGCCTTTACCTTATTTGATAATTATCTAGTCATTCGGCTGCACGAGAATCTTGATTGCCTTCCCCTGTTCAAGCCGCTCCATAGCATCGAGCACGCCCTCAAGCCCTACGACATCGCTGGTGAGCGGCTGCACATCGAGCGCCTTGCGCGCGAGCAGGCGAATTGCGATGTCGAATTCCTCCACATAGCTGGAACTGCCGGTGACTGTGAGCTCCTTGCGAATTATGGTGTATGAGCGGAAACTGATTGGGAATGTCGCAACACCGAGTAGCGCCAGTGTGCCATTATGGGGTAGAATTTCCACTGCCGTATCGAGCGCGGAGGGCGCAGCGGAGCACTCGAATGCGTAGTCCGGGCGCTCGATGTCATTGCCAAATATCTCGGTGGGGTCGTCTGTGACCGGGTTGATGGTGATGTCTGCGCCGAGTTCCTCGGCTTTGGCGCGGCGCATCTCGCTTGGTTCCAGCACGGTAATCTGGCTCGCCCCGCCAAGCCGCAGGTGCATCACGGTCAGCAGTCCTATGGGACCCGCGCCCACAACGACGGCCCGCCGTCCGACCTTGAAGCCGGAGCGTGAAACGCCGCGCAACGCGACAGCGATCGGCTCGACCCACGCGCCCTCGAGCAGCGAGACTTCATCGGGCAGGCTGCGTAGTTTGCCCGCCGGAATGCTCACATACGCGGCCATGCCTCCGTTGCTGCCGATGCCCGCTGTGCCGCCGATGTCCGGGGCGCTGCACAGATTGGACAGACCGTCTCGGCACTCGGGGCATACGCCACAGACGTTGCCTTTGGGATGCACGGCAGCGCGATCGCCAGCCCGCCAGCCTTCAACGCCGGGTCCGACAGATACGACCTCGCCCGCAAACTCATGCCCGATGACCACGCCATCTTCGTACCTGCCGAGTTGAACTGCGTGCAGGTCGGTGCCGCATATACCGGAGTAGTGCGTGCGGAAGAGCACTTCGCCCGTGTCCGGTTCAGGCATCGGGCGTTCTTTCTACCGCGTATCCACCTTCTTGGTTAAGTACGAGCGCGCGCATTGTATGTTCTCCCTTTTTGGCTCCCTCTTGGGCCTCTTATTTGACTTCTCTATTCAGTTGGCTGCACCAGTATCTTGATCGCATTGCCTGCGCACAGCCGCTCCAATGCGTCGAGCGCGCCTTCCAACGGCACGACTGCGCTCGTGAGCGCCTGCACATCGAGCGCCTTTCGCGCCAGCAGTCTCGTCGCGGTAACTATCTCGTCAGCATTCCTGGAAGTGCTTCTAATCGTTACTTCCTTAGTGAGCGCGTGCAGCGAGTGAAAGCTGACTGCGCCAGAAGCGACACCGACGAGAGTCACCCGTCCGTGTGGTCGGACAATGTCCACTGCCGTATCGACTGCGGTGTAAGCTCCAGAGCACTCGAAGACGTGGTCGGGCATTTCAATGTCGGCACCGAAAATTGCCGTGGGATCGTCGTCAAATGGGTTGATTGTCAGGTCGGCGCCAACCTCTTCTGCCTTGGCGCGGCGCATCTCGCTCGGCTCAATCACGGTAATATCGCTCGCGCCGCCGTGTCGCAGAAGCATCGTGGTCAGCAGCCCGATGGGACCCGCGCCAATCACGACAGTCCGCTGTCCGACGCCGAACCCGGACCTGCTGACGCCGCGAAGCGCAATCGAAATCGGTTCTGCCCATGCGCCTTCCATCATGGAAACTTCGTCAGGAAGGTGTCGCAGCTTGCCCGCCGGCAGGCTCACATACGCAGCCATACCGCCGTCTCGCACACTGCCAGCCGGGGCGCAGAATTCGTCTGACTGCAAATGTTGGCCAGCCATGCCGACACTCGTAGCATGTGCCGCAGAAGTTGCCCCTAGGATGGACGGTCGCCCTGTCGCCGGCTTGCCATTCTTCAACGCCAGGCCCGACGGCAGCGACTTCGCCCGCGAATTCGTGGCCTATGACCACGCCAGGAGTGTAGAAGTTCAGATCCGGAGCGTGCAGGTCTGTCCCGCATACTCCGGAGTAGTGCGTGCGGAACAGGACCTCGCCGACATCAGGCTCAGGCATGGGGCGCTCTTCAACCGCAAACTTATCCCCCGTTCAGCACGAGAGCGCGCATTGTCTATTCGCCTCCTTGCGTGATTCGCCGGATGCTCAGCCGACTATCTGCCCACCGCTTTGTGAATCTCGCCCACACTGTCTATGAATTGTTTCATGAGAATGGCGGGCGGCGCGGGCGCGACATGGGTGTAGCCCACTCCCAGATCCAGCAGATCCTGGGGAGTCAATGGCAGCGCCGCATGGCCCATGGGTATTTGCAGTTTCGCCTTGCCGATAGCCATGACCTGCTCGGCGATTTCATTCACTTTGTCGCGGAGGCGTGGATCGGCAGGGTCGGTGACGCCTAGGGTCTGGGATAGGTCGGTCGGCCCAATGGAGACGAGGTCAACGCCGTCAAGCGCTGCGATAGCTTCGACATCGTTGATTCCCTTGTCGTCCTCTGTCATCACGGACAGGATAATCTCTTCGTTGGACTGCTGCACATGCTCGTTCCATGGCACCGCTCCGAAGCGCGCCGCTCTTGTGCCGCCTGCGCCGCCGCGATCGCCAAGGGGCGGGTAACGAACGGCGTCCACTGCGCGCTTTGCTCCTTCAAGTCCTTCTATATGCGGCACGATGATGCCCTCGGCGCCCATGTCAAGTATGCGGAGAATCAGCTTGGCGTCGTTGTCAGGGACGCGCACCATCGAGGTAACGCCCGCGAGGTCTGATGCGCGTATCATCTCTTCCACTGTCCGCAAGTCGAAGCCGGTGTGCTCCATATCGATGAACGCCGCATCGAACCCGGCGATGCCGATAATCTCCACGACCTGCGGGTCGGCGAGGCTGACGTACTTGCCCAGCGCCAGCTTGCCTTCGCGCATAAGTTTCTTGACACGATTCTGCCGCATGAAATGCTCCTTCAGACGATTGGTTCAAAAGTTCAGTCAGATTTATGGCGGAAGTGTATGTGGCAAGACAAGAGCAGTCAAGCGCGTCTGCCTCACTGCTCCGAGGCGTGGCGAAATTTGACATCAGGGGCTATTATTTAGGTAGTGAATATATTGCCAGAGCATGGAGGATGACGCTATGACAATGCTTACGAGAGAAAAGTGCGTTGCTTGCCGCAGGGACTCGCCGCGCGTAACGGATGAAGAGGTCGCCGACTGCACCCGCAGGTCTCAGACTGGGAACTTACTGACATGGACGGCATACCGCGACTGCAAAGAACATTCAGGTTCAGGGACTTTGGCGGAGCGCTCAACTTTGCTACCGAGCTGGGAAGGTCCGCGGATGCAGAGGGACACCACCCGCGTATCACGTGGAGTGGGGGCGCGTTGGCGTTGACTGGTGGACGCACAAGATTCGCGGACTGCATCGCAACGACTTCATCATGGCTGCGAAGACCGATGCTATGTACGCCGATGCCGCAGCAACGAGCGAGTAACTCTATCGCTGAGCTTTGAAGTCGATGAGGGGCTTGGGCAGGTCATCAATAGCCGCCCAGTTCAAGGGCAGGGCGTTCAGGTCTTGCTGCCAACGCAGAGCGTCCGCAAGGGCTGCTGCGGTATCCACGCCGAGGCATTGCGGCTGAAATAGCGGCAGCAGGCGCACGGCGTCCCCCAACTTGACGCGAGCGCCGTGGAGATTGTGCCGTCCGACATGATGAAAGCCGACCGCCAGCTTTATCAGCGCGGACCAGAAGAAGCGCTGCGGATAGGGAGTTTCGAGCCATACCTCTTCCAGAACTTCGTGGCACTCCCAGTACAGCCCATTGTTAAACAGCCCAATGGCGTCGTAAAGCTGTGTGGGTGCGCTGCCTTGAGGATGAATCGCCTCGCCAAGCATCTCGCCCGCCTCCAGCAAGTCAAGCCACTGAGCCTCCAGATTGCGACGCTGCCCTTTGGCGGGCATGCGAGGGAGGGTCTGCTTCATATCTTTCCCGCCTATTTCAGTTCGAATACCAGGAGACATTCCATTGTACGATGTAATAGTAATCGGCGCAGGTCCGTGCGGCAACATGGCTGCGCTGGAGCTGGCTGAGCGAGGCATCAGCGTTGCCGTGCTGGACCGGCGCACGAACATTGGCGACAAGCTCTGCACAGGCATCATCGGCAGGGAATGCGCCGAGCTATTCCCGCCCGCGACCGAGCATATCCACGGCGAGGCGCGTCTCCGCGACCATCGTGTCTCCGGGCGGCAGACGATACAGGATTGAGCGCAAGGAGACGCACGCATACATCGTGAATCGCGTCGCCTATGTGAACTCGGTCGCGGAACGGGCGCAGCAAGCGGGCGCGGAATATACACTGAACACCCGAGTAACCGACATCCGAATCACAGACGCACACGCGGAGATAGATGTCTCGAGAGGACGGACGCCACACATACCACTGCCGCGTTGTGATTCTGCGTCAGGGTTTGTTCACCTCTATTGAGGATGGCGGGCATCAAAGCTGGCAAGTACGACGAGTATCTTGTCGGCTACCAGGTTGAAGCGGATGCAACTGACCTCTCCGAAACAGAAGTCTATCTGGGAAGCGACACGGCGCAGAACTCATTCGCGTGGCTTGTGCCGCTCTCGGAAGGGCGCGCGGTGGTGGGCATGGCACCCCGGCGCCGCGCTAACGGGCAGATGGAGGGATTCATCGAGCGCCTAAATCCGATGGCAGATCGATAGTATCGCGAGCAGACCGCAAACATGGGGATCCCATACGCCCAATCGCCGAGCTACGGGGATAGGTGCTGGTTGGCAGGAGGACGCAGCAGGGTCAAGCCGACGACCGGCGGCGGCATCTACTATGCCTTTCTTTCGGGACGGATCGCTGCCGATCAGCGCATAACGCAATCTCAAGCGGCAAGTGTACAGCAACGACCTGCGCGTTACGAGCGGAACTGGAAGGCTGTGTTCGGTAGGAGCTACGGGTCGGCTCTACGCGCGCATGCTCTTCGAGACGCTGACGGACGACCAGATTGAGCGGCTGATGATCGAGTTCCTGTCTGACGGAGCGCTGGACGATTACATCGGCGAGGATGTCGCCTTCGACTGGCACGGCGGGTCATCATGACAGACGCTGCGGCACACACAATATTCGCCGCGTGCTCGACACCCTGGGGGCCATCTGCTGCGCATTCGTGGCGCGCCTTATGCATGCAGGTGATGATACGCCGCGCTCAAGATAATGCGCTTACTTTCGCCTACCACGGTCAAACATATTGCCAGTATCGCCATGCGCATGACAAGAGCATTCTCGGACTGGCGATAGAAAGCAAGTCTGTCGCTTCGACCTCAACTGCGAAATCTCCGCTGCGCTGCATGGGGTCCAATATGATGAGTGGGGCTTCAACTTCGCCATGAAGTCGCCGTCTAGCGGAGGCTCAGCGCGCCCTTGAGCGGAGAGCCGCGCGTGCGCAACGGTGCGCGGGGCGTTCAGGTAGATGGCGTCCGCCGCTGAGCGTATCCAGATCATCTCAAGGCTGACACACATACCGCGCTGGCGACAGTAGTTGAGTAACACTCGGGGTCAACGCCGCCGCTGACGCGATCAGAGTTACGCTGATGTCATCGAGAGCGCCAGTCCTCGCAGCAGCGCAGTCACATTGCGATGTTCCAGCCTGCCCACGACGGCGACATTCACAGCCGTCGATGCCGCGAGTTCGCGTGCAGGGGTGTACAGGTCGGCGAGCGCCGGCGTGGGATGATCGTCTGCGCTGCGTTGATGACCGTCATCGAGTCGGCGAACTCGGCGCGCCTCCACCACTCTGGCGGCGCTGCTGCGCAGAGCACGCCATCAATCCGCATGCTCGCCAGTATCTGATGACATTACTATGTGCTGCGTTGGACACGGGGAAGTAGAACAACGGTAGGCGTCCTCGTATGCTATATCTGCCGCCAAGCAGTCCCATCGAGACGTCTCGACGACCGTTAGCGTAAGCAGGCTGGGTTAGTAGAACAGGAAAAGTGCAAGGCCAGTAGCCGCCCTCTGCCGCTTGCCGCTTCGACATCGTCTCGCATAGAGGAAACAGTCGCCGCCTCTATGAAACCCTTCGAGATGGCTTTTTACGGCTAAGTGGGGATAATCTGGCATCGTTTGGTTCACCCGGGTCTG